GGAGTGGGAATGTTGCAGTGGAGTGGGAATGTTGCAGTGGAGTGGGATTGCTGCAGTGGAGTGGGATTGCTGCAGTGGAGTGGGATTGCTGCAGTGGAGTGGGATTGCTGCAGTGGAGTGGGATTGCTGCAGTGGAGTGTGGATTGCTGCAGTGGAGTGGGATTGCTGCAGTGGAGTGGGATTGCTGCAGTGGAGTGGGATTGCTGCAGTGGAGTGGGATTGCTGCAGTGGAGTGGGAATGCTGCAGTGGTGGAGTATGAATGGTGCAGTGGTGGAGTGGGAATGTTGCAGTGGTAGAGTGAATGTAACAGTGGTGGAGTGGGGATAAACAGGGGCAACAGGAGTAAAGAAACATGCCCATCGTCTCCACTCGCCCCAGTGTTGAACCCGAGTCCCTCAGTTGTAACCTGGAGTTTACCTGGAGAGAGTTCCGGGGGTCAACGCCCCCCGGCGCCGGTCTGTGACCAGGCCTCCTGTGACCAAGCCGAGGAAACTATCACAAACTCAAAAACCTTCGTTACACTTGGTTTTCACTGTCACATTCTACCATGACTTGTCACCCTACATTAAATTCTATCAATCGTTTATCATCCTCGTTTATCATCCTCGTTTATCATCCTCGTTTATCATCCTCGTTTAAGTAAAATCAACCCTGTCCTTTTTCAAGCTATTTTGGTTTTTAATATATAAGATTTTTTCAATAATAAAGTTATATACGTTGATTTTTCAGTGCTCCTTGCAATTAATAACGAATTAATAATGTTAAAAGTAATAGTATTTACTGCCTATCCAGGATACTATCACTAGTGATAGTAGCATTTACTGCCTATCCTGGATACTATCACTAGTGATAGTAGCATTTACTGCCTATCTTGGATACTATCACTAGTGATAGTAGCATTTACTGCCTATCTTGGATACTATCACTAGTGATAGCATTTACTGCCTATCCTGGATACTATCACTAGTGATAGTAGCATTTACTGCCTATCCTGGATACTTTCACTAGTGATAGTAGCATTTACTGCCTATCCTGGATACTATCACTAATGATAGTAGCATTTACTGCCTATCCTGGATACTATCACTAGTGATTAGTAGCATTTACTGCCTATCTTGGATACTATCACTAGTGATAGTAGCATTTACTGCCTATCTTGGATACTATCACTAGTGATAGTAGCATTTACTGCCTATCCTGGATACTATCACTAGTGATAGTAGCATTTACTGCCTATCCTGGATACTATCACTAATGATAGTAGCATTTACTGCCTATCCTGGATACTATCACTAGTGATAGTAGCATTTACTGCCTATCTTGGATACTATCACTAGTGATAGTAGCATTTACTGCCTATCCTGGATACTATCACAGTGATAGTAGCATTTTACTGCCTATCCTGGATACTATCACTAGTGATAGTAGCATTTACTGCCTATCTTGGATACTATCACTAGTGATAGTAGCATTTACTGCCTATCCTGGATACTATCACTAGTGATAGTAGCATTTACTGCCTATCCTGGATACTATCACTAGTGATAGTAGCATTTACTGCCTATCCTGGATACTATCACTAGTGATAGTAGCATTTACTGCCTATCTTGGATACTATCACTAGTGATAGTAGCATTTACTGCTATCCTGGATACTATCACTAGTGATGTAGCATTTACTGCCTATCCTGGATACTATCACTAATGATAGTAGCATTTACTGCCTATCCTGGATACTATCACTAATGATAGTAGCATTTACTGCCTATCCTGGATACTATCACTAATGATAGTAGCATTTACTGCCTATCTGGATACTATCACTAGTGATAGTAGCATTTACTGCCTATCCTGGATACTATCACTAGTGATAGTAGCATTTACTGCCTATCCTGGATACTATCAGTAGTGATAGTAGCATTTACTGCCTATCCAGGATACTATCACTAGTGATAGTAGCATTTACTGCCTATCCTGGATACTATCACTAGTGATAGTAGCATTTACTGCCTATCCAGGATACTATCACTAGTGATAGTAGCATTTACTGCCTGTCCTGGATACTATCACTAGTGATAGTAGCATTTACTGCCTATCCAGGATACTATCACTAGTGATAGTAGCATTTACTGCCTATCCTGGATACTAATCACTAGTGATAGTAGCATTTACTGCCTATCCTGGATACTATCACTAGTGTATAGTGCATTTACTGCCTATCCTGGATACATCATAGTGATAGTAGCATTTACTGCTATCCGGATACTATCACTAGTGATAGTAGCATTTACTGCCTATCCTGGATACTATCACTAGTGATAGTAGCATTTACTGCCTATCCAGGATACTATCACTAGTGATAGTAGCATTTACTGCCTGTCCTGGATACTATCACTAGTGATAGTAGCATTTACTGCCTATCCAGGATAACTATCACTAGTGATAGTAGCATTTACTGCCTATCCTGGATACTATCACTAGTGATAGTAGCATTTACTGCCTATCCTGGATACTATCACTAGTGATAGTAGCATTTACTGCCTATCCTGGATACTATCAGTAGTGATATAGTAGCATTTACTGCCTATCCAGGATACTATCACTAGTGATAGTAGCATTTACTGCCTATCCTGGATACTATCACTAGTGATAGTAGCATTTACTGCCTATCCTGGATACTATCAGTAGTTGATAGTAGCATTTACTGCCTATCCAGGATACTATCACTAGTGATAGTAGCATTTACTGCCTATCCTGGATACTATCACTAGTTGATAGTAGCATTTACTGCCTATCCTGGATACTATCAGTAGTGATAGTAGCATTTACTGCCTATCCAGGATACTATCACTAGTGATAGTAGCATTTACTGCCTATCCTGGATACTATCACTAGTGATAGTAGCATTTACTGCCTATCCAGGATACTATCACTAGTGATAGTAGCATTTACTGCCTATCCAGGATACTATCACTAGTGATAGTAGCATTTACTGCCTATCCTGGATACTATCACTAGTGATAGTAGCATTTACTGCCTATCCTGGATACTATCAGTAGTGATAGTAGCATTTACTGCCTATCCAGGATACTATCACTAGTGATAGTAGCATTTACTGCCTATCCTGGATAGTATCACTAGTGATAGTAGCATTTACTGCCTATCCTGGATACTATTTAAACAGTCTAGTACTATTTTTCCACAACAGCTTTCTGTCTCATTTCTGACCTTAGTTTCTCCTTAATTATGAGAACACCAACAACCCCATTGTATCGTATCATTGTATCGTATCATTGTATCGTATCATTGTATCGTATCATTGTATCGTATCATTGTATCGTATCATTGTATCAGATTAACATGGTATCGACATTGTATCGTTATCATTGTATCGTATCATTGTATCGTATCATTGTATCGATCATTGTTCGTATCATTGTATCGTATCATTGTATCGTATCATTGTATCGTATCATTGTATCGTATCATTGTATCGTATCATTGTATCGTATCATTGTATCATATCATGTTGTATCATTGTATCGTATCATTGTATCGTATCATTGTATCGTATCATTGTATCATATCATTGTATCGTATCATTTTACGATACAAATGTTGTGATGACTATTTACAACATTTCTATATTAAATATGAAAGGGATTTGATAGGTGTGTGTGTGTGCGTGTGTGTGTGTGTGTGGTGTGTGTGTGTGTGTGTGTGTGATCTGGCTCTGTGGGTGTACCTATCTGGCTCCGTGGGTTTATCTGGCTCCGTGGGTGTATATCTGGCTCCGTGGGTGTACCTATCTGGCTCAGTGGGTGTACCTATCTGGCTCCGTGGGTGTACCTAACTGGCTCCGTGGGTGTACCTATCTGGCTCCGTGGGTGTATATCTGGCTCCGTGGGTGTACCTATCTGGCTCCGTGGGTGTATATCTGGCTCCGTGGGTGTACCTATCTGGCTCCGTGGGTATACCTATCTGGCTCCGTGGGTGTACCTATTTGGCTCCGTGGGTGCATCTATCTGGCTCCGTGGGTGTATATCTGGCTCAGTGGGTGTACCTATCTGGCTCAGTGGGTGTACCTATCTGGCTCCGAGGGAGTACCTGAGTCCGCGGGAGTCACTATCTGGCTTCGTGAGAGTCATTATCTAGCTCCTAGGGTGAATTGTTATCTGGCACCAGTACACAACTTCCCACTGGTTAGTGATATATGAAATAAATGGCCTTGCGTAATACACACACATACAAGTACACGTACGCACGCACGCGCACACACACACACACACACACACACACACACACACACACACACACACACACACACACACACACATTCAGAGGTGTGCCTGTTTGCTGATGATGTGAAACTAATGAGGAGAATACAAGCGGACGAGGATCAGTTAAGATTACAAAGGGGTCTGGACAGGCTGCAAGAATGGTCCAACAAATGGCTCCTGGGGTTTAACCCCCACCAAGTGCAAAGTCATGAAGCCTGGGGAAGGACAAAGAAGATCGCAGACAGAGTCAAGGCTAGAGGTTCAAAGGCTGCAAACCTCACTCAAGGAAAAGGATCTTGGGGTAATCATTATACCGAGCACATCTCCTGAGGCACACATCAACCAAATAACCGCTATAGCAAACCTGAGAATAGCGTTTCAACATCTAAGGAGTCATTCACGTCACTGTACACATCTGGCCCATATTGGAGTATGCAACACCAGTGTAGAACCCACACCTTGTCAAAGACGTCAAGAAATTTGAAAAGTGGAAAGGTATGCAACAAGACTAATCCCGGAGAGGTTAAGGGAACTCACCCTAATGAGGGATAGGGGAGACATAATAACGACGTATAAAATACTAAGAGGAATTGACAAGGTAGACAGGACTACAAAATTTCAGAGATGGAATACAGCAACAAGGGGTCACAAATGGAAGTTGAAAACTCAGATGATTCAAAGGAATGTTAGGAAGTATTTCCTCGGTCACAGAGTTGTCAGGAAGTGGAACAGTCTGGAGAGAGATGTAGTGGAAGTAGCATCCATACATAGTTGTAAGAAAAGGTATAATAAGGCTCTTGGAGCGGGGAAAGAATGGATCTAGTAGCGACCAGTTAAGAGCTATGAATCGACCCACATATAGGTGAGTGCTGCAACACGCGCGCGCGCGCGCACACACACACACACAATTTCACCATGGCAGGTAAACAGCGTATCTCTGGGAATTAATGCCATATGATCCCTGATAGCCACGTTAACACACATCTTACCTCACTTATCCTCACTCAAGGGTAAATTCCATAAGTAATGCGCTAAAAAAATAGAAGTTTCCAGCTGACAGAAGTTCCAAAATTGAATATTAGAAAATAACGAAATGGCAGGAGATGGCAAAGATGTATTATTTATCAGTGTGCTGGAATGTCTGTCTCTATATACATATACCTGTATGCTTCACTGTCTCTCTCTCTCTCTCTCTCTCTCTCTCTCTCTCTCTCTCTCTCTCTCTCTGACTGTCGCAGTGGTCAGAGAAGTTGAAGGTGAAAATGATTTGAATATAGTTAGAGAGAGCGTTACGTGTAGATACTCAGAGATAATGGTAGAGGAAGACTCTGGACCCGTCACGCAACATGGGAAAGACCTTGGAGTAGTCATGGAACTTGAGAAAGACCTTGGAGTAGTCATGGAACTTGAGAAAGACCTTGGAGTAGTCATGGAACTTGAGAAAGACCTTGGAGTAGTCATGGAACTTGAGAAAGACCTTGGAGTAGTCATGGTACTTGAGAAAGATCGTGTAGTCATGGAACTTGGGAAAGATCTTGGAGTAGTCATGGAACTTGAGAAAGATCTTGGAGTAGTCATGGAACTTGAGAAAGATCTTGGAGTAGTCATGGAACTTGAGAAAGACCTTGGAGTAGTCATGGAACTTGAGAAAGATCTTGGAGTAGTCATGGAACTTGAGAAAGATCTTGGAGTAGTCATGAAGCTTGAGAAAGATCTTGGAGTAGTCATGAAGCTTGAGAAAGATCTTGAGTAGTCATGAAGTGAGAAGACTTGAGTAGTCTGAACTTGAGAAAGATCTTGGAGTAGTCATGGAACTTGAGAAAGACCTTGGAGTAGTCATGGAACTTGAGAAAGACCTTGGGATAGTCATCCAAGCTGAGAAAAACCTTGAAAATAGTCACAAAAACCTCAAAATATACTCAACAATATACTACTACACGCACCAATATAGCCAGAATTTTTTTCATTAAAAAAAATTCTTTACAAACGCCAGAAATTAATACTGAACAATTTGCTTGTTAAATTCCCACTATTTATAAAATGAGAAAAATGATAAGTCTGATTTTTAATATTTCGACGATTCAGAGGAAGATCTGAGAGATATATTGCAGTTTTTAAACTGTAGTGTAGACACGACTCTGACAAGACAGTGATGGGGTGAGTGATGATGAAAGTGTTTCTTCTCTTTCGGGTTACCCTGCCTCGGTGGGAGACGGCCGATATATATACACACACACACCAAGTTGGATGAATCCTATTTGGCCGGCATGGTTTGTTGGTTAAAGCATTTTCCTGTTGATCTTAGGGCAAGCTTACCATGAGTTCGAATCCCGTCCGTTCCGTGAAATGTGACATACTAAAGTATAATGATGCGTTTACATGAAACTCCGTGGCAAGAGGTTTAATACGAATGTGAAAGAGAAATGGGAAGAGGAGACACTGGGATGGAAGTATGATGGATTAGGTAGGGAAGTGAGATAAAAAGAAATGGAGAAAAAGAAAGGGAAATACAAGGAGGGAGTGAGTGATGGTGTTAAGAGTGGAGATGCCAGTGAGTAGGGTATAAAAGAGAGTAAGGCTTGAGTACATTCATTACCCCCTCACCTCTCTCGAGATGAACACCTTCAGTGTCCTCCTGCATCTCCTGGCGCTCTGCCTAATCCAGGGCGTTGCCTCTCTAGGTCAGTACGAGTCCTTCGCTGTAGTTGAAGGACATGTTATCTTCCGTTTCCCTAGCTATTAATTTTAAAGTCTATCACTGATACGAAGCTTATTAGGGTCACTCTTCACCTTGACATTTAGCATCGAAGGAGACATATAAATGACCTTAAGGTCTATATAGAAGCTACAGCTAAATGAATACTTAATTATAATAAAAAAAACTGTTATATTAAGAAGCACTAAATCCGTATGAAAAAGATTTAGGGAGCTGGAAGTCTTCACAGAGGAGACTTCGGGGTGTTGATCTTCAATGAGCACGTCACGGCTCTGACCTCAAAAACCACTTCGAGTAACTCTTTCTTCCATAAGCGTTCGTGATCAGTGGTGGATCAGGGTCGGATCAGGTACTGACTTTAGGTGCCTGTCCAGCGCCTTCTTGAAGACAGCCAGGGATTTATTGGTAAACCCCCTTAAGTATGCTGGGAGGCAGTTGAAAAGTCTTGGACCCCTGACACTTATTGCCAGCTACCTCGCTATTTCTAGTAGTAAACATCACCGTTGTCTCCTTCCTAGGAACTTCGAGTTAGCTCTTCTTCGTCTTCCAGGAACACACGTCACCGTTCCTTTCTCCCACAGATATCGACTACAGGGAAAACGTGACCAGTACACTGACCCTCAGCAACGGCATCGACTGGGGTGACTGGGGACCCGTAGAGTTCTGTGAGGAAGGCAGCTACTCACACGGCTTCGAAGTCAGGGTAAGTAAACAGTGCAAAGGCTGCAACAGGCCGAGTATTGCAGCAGCCTTAGCACTGTCATGAGGCAAGGGTTTCCATTTAGAGGTATATGCCATAGACCTAAGGCTACCATAAACGAACTTGCCATAGGCGTAAGGTTTCTTAAGGCAGTTTTGAGAATCCAAATTACTCTTATCTTTTTATAAATTCAAGATCTAAGCATTTTTTTTTATTCCGTGTTTCAAGGTCGAAAAGTGAGGCCCACGCACGATATTAACACTCAAATTAGTGACTGATGGATAGGTAGAAATTAATGGAGGTGGTGTTAGTGGTGGTGATGTAGGAGGAAGACTGATGGAAGTGGTGGTGGTAGTGTTGGTGTTAGTGTGGGTGGTGGTGTAGGAGGGAAGGGTGGTGACACTAGTGGTGGAGATGCAGTGTGAGATGACTGCTACATATTAACGGGGCTGGTGGAAGTGATAATGATACTGACGGAGATGACGTCGGAGATAACAACAGAAGCCTGGTGGAAGCTCTGGGAGCCTGACGGACACTATGGAAGCCTGGTGGAAGCTCTGGGAGCCTGACGGACACTAAGGAAGCCTGGTGGAAGCTCTGGGAGCCTGACGGACACTCTGGGAGCCTGACGGACACTGTGGAAGCCTGGTGGAAGCTCTGGGAGCCTGACGGACACTATGGAAGCCTGGTGGAAGCTCTGGGAGCCTGACGGACACTATGGAAGCCTGGTGGAAGCTCTGGGAGCCTGACGGACACTATGGAAGCCTGGTGGAACTCTGGGAGCCTGACGGACACTAAGGAAGCCTGGTGGAAGCTCTGGGAGCCTGACGGACACTATGGAAGCCTGGTGGAAGCTCTGGGAGCCTGACGGACACTATGGAAGCCTGGTGGAAACTCTGGGAGCCTGACGGACACTAAGGAAGCCTGGTGGAAGCTCTGGGAGCCTGACGGACACTATGGAAGCCTGGTGGAAACTCTGGGAGCCTGACGGACACTATGGAAGCCTGATGGAAACTCTGGGAGCCTGACGGACACTATGGAAGCCTGGTGGAAACTCTGGGAGCCTGACGGACACTATGGAAGCCTGGTGGAAACTCTGGGAGCCTGACGGACACTATGGAAGCCTGGTGGAAACTCTGGGAGCCTGACGGACACTATGGAAGCCTGGTGGAAGCTCTGGGAGCCTGACGGACACTATGGAAGCCTGGTGGAAACTCTGGGAGCCTGACGGACACTATGGAAGCTGGCTCGGTCGATTGGGGTGGAACTCTGGGAGCCTGACGGACACTAAGGAAGCCTGATGGACACTGTGGAAGCCTGGTGGAAACTCTGGGAGCCTGACGGACACTATGGAAGCCTGGTGGACACTGTGGAAGCCTGGTGGAAACTCTGGGAGCCTGACGGACACTAAGGAAGCCTGATGGAACCTCTGGGAGCCTGACGGACACTAAGGAAGCCTGATGGAACCTCTGGGAGCCTGACGGACACTATGGAAGCCTGATGGAACCTCTGGGAGCCTGACGGACACTATGGAAGCCTGATGGAACCTCTGGGAGCCTGACGGACACTATGGAAGCCTGATGGAACCTCTGGGAGCCTGACGGACACTAAGGAAGCCTGATGGACACTAAGGAAGCCTGATGGACACAGTAGCAGACGATGGCAGAAGTGTACTAGACAATTTTATTAAAAAAAATACTAAAACTGTAAAGAAAGTAAATGAATATTAATACATATACATAACTACATGCATATCGGCTAATAAATCTTTTGATTTTATAAATACATTGACTGTATAAGTTGCTACTATTTAAAACATGAATATCTATCAATGAAACATACATTAATGTCCATATCTATTGAACTGGTAACCTGTCTATAAAAATAACAAAAACAAAAATTATAATAATAACAGAGTTCTACTGCCAGTTAATTAGCCTCATTAGAGCCAAAGAGTTTTGCTCATAGAGCTGTGATCACAGCAAAGAAGCTGCGAGAAATTAATACCTTTCCCATCTACCCTGTACTCCCTTTCCTATCTCTTCTGCCACTTAAGTTACTCTCCCTTTTTTCCTACCACCACTACTACTACTACCACCACTACTACTACTTGTACTACCAGCGTTACCACTACTTCTTTGTCTTCCTCTCTTGGTCCCGTCCCTACCCCCCTCGCATATATATACTGGCTCCCTCACTCTCTTGTGTTAGTTCAAAAAATCAATTAGGTTTTATTGCTTGAAATCATAACTATAATATTTAAAGGGGTGGAGGGGTAAGCCAGTGGAAGGCATCTGTCAGATGACCAAATACCCCAGCTGTGGGTCATCACATGACTAAGACCCGCGTCAGGAAACACTTGCCCTGTTTCCTGACAAACATTACCTACCTGTGTATCATCTTTTGTGTTAGTGGTTCAAATCAGGCTTTCTCTCTCTCTCTCTCTCTCTCTCTCTCTCTCTCTCCCCTATGCGCGGGTTATTTGTGTATTAATCTTCCCTTTTTGGTTGCAGTTTGAGCCAAGCGGAGCTACTGATGAGACCGCAATGAGCGGCGTGAAGCTTTACTGCAGTGATAAGGATCACTTTGACACTGGCTACGTCACCTCCGTTGTCGGTACCACTGGCGAGTGGCAAGGTGAGAGAGAGAGAGAGAGAGAGAGAGAGAGAGAGAGAGAGAGAGATAATTGAGAAAAACCTCGAAGTGATAGTATCGTGTGCTATATTACGACGTTTCTGAAAGCTTTCGAGACACATTAAACTTTTCTGGAACAGTTTGAGAGACAAAGACCACCTTACTGGAACAATTCCAGGCACACACGACCACCTTACTGGAACAATTCCAGGCACACATGACAGCCTTACTGGAACAATTTCAGACACACACAACCACTGTACTGGAACAACTCCAGAGACACACGACCACCTAACTGGAACAATTTCAGACACATGACCGCCAAACAGTTCCACAACAACTCTCCTGTAGAAAAGTAATACACAGTACCCACAAGAGGAATAATTAGACACATGTGCAACATCCGGGTATCTTTATTATAGACGTTTCGCCATCCAGTACAATACGAGGACATAATGTGAAGAAATACATACAAAAGATGAAGTAATCATTCCGTCAACCTTGGAACTGGTAAAGAGCACTACGGTGCTCTGCGGTGCTCGCCATCCAGTGAGGAACACTACGGTGCCCTTCACTGGTTGGCGAAATATCTACAAATAAAGATACCCAGATGTTGCACATGTGTCTAATTCTTCCAACTCTCTTGGTTGCTCCTGCAGGCATGCGTGTGTGCCACGAAGGCTTCCTGACGGGTATGAGAGCGGAGGTGCTGGAACCTCAGGGAATATTGCACGACGACGTGGCTGTCGAGAATATTGAGGTACAGTGCAACTACGACGGTGAAATCTTGACCGGCGTGCACGATCTTCCCAAGGTGAGTGAAAAGCCTTGAAGGAGGGAGAAAAGAATAAGGAGCGGAAGGAGCACGAGAATGAAGAGTAGGAGAAGAATGAATGACAGAAAGAGAACGAAGGTAGAAGGAGCAAGAGAATGAAGGGTAGGAGGAGCAGGAGGATGAAGGGTAGGAGGAGCAGAAGAATGAAGGAAAGAAGCAGGAGAATGAAGGGTAGAAGGAGAGGGAGAATGAATGACAGAAGGAGAATGGAGGGTAGAAGAAGCAGGAGAATGAAGGGTAGAAGGAGCAGGAAAATGAAGGGTAGAGAGATGATAGTAATAAGTTAACGCAGGACACAGCCAACAAGGAACTAAGGAGAGAGACATCAAAAAGTAAACATTGACTATTCAATACGATATCCATCTACATGAAGCTCTTTGTGGTCTCTGAAAGCAAGAAGACCTCTTCTCTGCTCTGTGTCCCTTATTTAACACAAGGATGATGAGGAAGAGGAAGACGGAAAGGAGGAAGAAGAGGAACAAGAGTTGGTGGAGGTACAGTTATCTACCGAAAGAGACTGGGAAAGGTCCTCAGTTTTGATCCCATGTATCAGAAATGTTCCCCACGAAGACAGACTGAAGGCAATGAATCTGCACTCTTGAAAGGCGTAGATTATAATCATCAACAACCTCTAAACCCGTAAGGGTCACAGGAAAGGCATAGAATTAGGAAGGAATTCACTAAGGTGTTTAAATGGAAGACAGGAATAAAGGAGATACAAATAACGTGCTAAAATATTTATATGGACGTAATATATTAGGGAAAGTAGTGCTGGTAGCCAGACCTCTGTCTAGACTCCTGGGTAGCTGAGGTTAACAGAGGAGGAGAGAGAGAGAGAGAGAGAGAGAGAGAGGAGAGAGAGAGAGAGAGGTGAGAAAGGAATAGCTAAAGCAATAGGTGAATACCTTTTTTGGTAAATTAATGGCTAAGAAAGAGTTCAAGTAAGCGTAAATGGAATAGTTAAATATATGGAAGAATATCTCTCAGTCCAGAGCAGGATTCGAACCTGCACACACTGTATCAAAATCAAAATACACAGAACTTTCGCCACCCAGCCACAGAGTACGAAGGTTCAAATCCTGCTGTGGTTCGAAAGATAATGTTTGTAAATAGTTTCGCCCGTCTACGAATTGTTAAGCATGTGAAAAAAAAATGAGTCAGTATGTGCTAAAAAATAAAAAGAACGGATCAAAGCATACGTATAACAATTTTTCCCCGTCTTCCTGTCAGTTCACGCCAGGTACTTGGGGAGAATTCGAGCATTGTGACCCAGGTTCTGCTGTTTGTGGTCTTCAGGTGAGACATGAACTAAATGAAGCTACTTGTCTTTGATTATTTGTTTCCCTCTACGCTTTTATTTATTTTGTGTTTGTGTACTCACCTAGTTGTGGTTGCAGGGGTCGATTCACAGCTCCTGGCCCCGCCTCTTCATTGGTGTGTACGTGTGTGTGTGTATACTGAATTCATAATATAACCATAAATGCTGTATAATATATATATATATATTATATATATATATATATATATATATATATATATGCAATAAGATCACAGTAAACAGGTGATTTCAAAATATGCAAAACAACCACTCTGATAATGTGAGTAGTCACGAAAGCGCTTGGAATTTCTCTATTCTTTCAGAATGGTTGTTTTGCATATCATCAAAATTTATATCATTAAATATATATCTTTGTCCTCTCATCGTTCCTGTTGATAGTATTATGACAATTTCTTCGTCTTACGTACGATACCTGTAGTGTTGGTTACGATATAGCGGTACCTGCAGTGTTACAATACAATGATATTTCTACTGTTATGTGCAATACAAGATGCCTATATTGTTACTGTGTTTCGATACCTGTAATATTACCTGTGCCTGTACTGTTACTGAGTTACATTCATGTGTTACAGACACGTTACGAGGGCATCTTAGTTGGTGACGACTCGGGTACTACGGACCTGATCTTCTTTTGCTGTGTGTTCTAGCCTCTTTTTCCCGTGCTGTTGTTCTATTTTCTAATGTTCATCTTGTTTTATTGTCCCACTTATACTTGTTACCGTTGGACACCACTGGTTACTGCATAGCACCGTTGGAGACTTTCTGGTACCAGTGGCCAGCTACGCAACAAGGCAACTGCTGGACTCAAGGTCCCATAACTGGACTTGAGGTTAAATTGCTGGGCACTCATAGACGTTCAACTAAGATTTTGGAGACGTACGTAATCTGTTTGAAAGCACTGGACACAAGAGACAACCTTGCTGGAACCACTTGACGCAGAGGCAACCTTGCTGGAACCACTGGACGCAAGAAGACAGCCTTGCTGGAACCACTGGACGCAAGAAGACAGCCTGCTGGAACCACTGGACGCAAGAAGACAGCCTTGCTGGAACCACTGGACGCAAGAAGACTGCCTTGCTGGAACCACTGGACGCAAGAAGACAGCCTTGCTGGAACCACTGGACGCAAGAAGACAACCTTGCTGGAACCACTGGACGCAAGAAGACAGCCTTGCTGGAACCACTGGACGCAAGAAGACAACCTTATGGGAACCACTGAAGTCGTGGAGGCTACAGAGAAACTTTCACCCTTTCAATTACTGTTGTAATCTCTAAACTTTCATGTGTGTGTGTGTATAACAAACAACCCAACACTATTGTTTTATTAAATAGAATCTGATCCCCGGTTAAACCCAATAAAACATCAGGTTAGGAGAAAAACCCGAGTGATTTTTATCTCTTAGAGACCTAAATGTCCAGCCTCTCGAAGCCTTCGTGAGAGACTTGAGGTATATAATTCCAAATTGAGAAAGTTGGACGACGAATAAGCAGTGTTGTTTACCGTTTCTTGTTAGCTAACTCAATAAGTTGCAGATGTTCGACGGGTGTTAACAGACCTCCTGTGTGTCTGGCAACACATTAAGACTAGCAGATGTTCAAAGAGGAAGATACGTGTGCAATAGATACCAAATGTTGTCTGTGTGTTTTATGTTTCTAGTTAATTAAAGAGAGTTAATTTTTGTACATGTGTCTTATTCAACTACTTGAGGATATTCAACTGATATTCATGTGTATTATTCATCTATTTAAGAATATTCAACTGTTACACATGTGTCTAACCTACTTACGAATATTGACTACCATTATTATAATGATAGAAGCAGATGTTCAATAGAGCTTCACACACAAATATATTCCTGGGGTTTCCACAATCGTCTATCCAAATATTCCTTCTTGCTGTATCTCCAACCTCTCCATCGCTATCCATCGCTTCCCCTCACACACCTGTAAGGAATATTTTACCCCTTGGCACTCCTGTAAATGAACCACAGTAATTTCTTACTAGTAAGAGCGATACAGAGTAATGAAAGTCAGTCTGACGTCCCCTTGAAGCCATTATATGAACAATTGGCTCATTTACGTCCCCTTATGCTGATCTATCCAGTGCTGCTTTCCCCACACGGACACAGGTGTGTGTATATCTCACTCCCACACGGACGCAGGTGTGTATACCTCACTCACACACACGGACAGGTGTGTATACCTCACTCACACACACGGACAGGTGTGTATACCTCACTCACACACGGACACAGGCGTGTGTACCTCACTCCCACACGGACACAGGCGTGTGTACCTCACTCCCACACGGACACAGGCGTGTGTACCTCACTCCCACACGGACACAGGCGTGTGTACCTCACTCCCACACGGACACAGGCGTGTGTACCTCACTCCCACACGGACACAGGCGTGTGTACCTCACTCCCACACGGACACAGGCGTGTGTACCTCACTCCCACACGGACACAGGCGTATATACTACACACACACCACACACACACACACACACACACACACACACCTACGTACGTTTTGGAGTTCTCAGAGTAAACCATTTCAGTTTGAGTTGATTTCACACCATAAGTGACCGGGCTTATCCAGTTAATCGGACAGGATTTCAGCGTAATCCTGACAGGATTTATGCAGCCATTTTAAAGAGGATTTTCACTACTAATCTGGCCGTTTCCCAGTGTTTTTTTTTTTTTACTATTGTAAACATGTCTAAAAAAATGTTTTGAGTTTAGAACTTTGATATTTATGGAGCAGTGATGCAAAGTAGCGGTTCTTTCTTATTTCTTTGATATTATCGTCCACTTTCTCTATTACGCTGAATATTAACTTATGTTCTTTTGTTAGTTTTTTCTTCTTCTTTCATCTACCTTTTCCTTTTACTCTGTTATTCTGTTTTCATATTATTCTGCCTTCTCTTTAAAATTTATATTCATTTCATTTTGGAAGCAATTTCCCTCTCTCAGTTTTATGTTCGTGAGAATGTGTATTGTGTGTGTGTGCATCCCTCCATCCTTTCATCTCTCTCTCTCTCTCTCTCTTTCTCAATCCAGAGAGATTATTTGTCCCCCGTAAAGCAGCATCAGCATCTGAAAGGGCCTTATCCTCGCCTGGCAAAGAGCAGTGTTGACTGCTAGAGACGGTCAGGCACACCACTTACTCTGGCATCATGCAGCATTACACACCAACCTTTAGCACTGAAATTAGGGTCAGAGAGAGAGAGAGAGAGAGAGAGAGAGAGAGAGAGAGAGAGAGAGAGAGAGAGAGAGAGAGAGAGAGAGAGAGAGAGAGAGAGAGGCTTTCAAATGAGCTGATGTAGGTAACAGCTCTTAGCTTGTCAATAAAGTTAGGAATCCTTGACTTGTAAATGGCTTGTCAATACAGCTAAGGATCCTGAACCTAACCTTGTCAAACCCTGTGTAAGAGAGAGAGAGAGAGAGAGAGAGAGAGAGAGAGAGAGAGAGAGAGAGAGAGAGAGAGAGAGAGAGAGAGAGAGAGAGAGGCTTTCAAATGAGCTGATGTAGGTAACAGCTCTTAGCTTGTCAATAAAGTTAGGAATCCTTGACTTGTAAATGGCTTGTCAATACAGCTAAGGATCCTGAACCTAACCTTGTCAAACCCTGTGTAAAGAGAGAGAAGAGAGAGAGAGAGAGAGAGAGAGAGAGAGAGAGAGAGAGAGAGAGAGAGAGGCTTTCAAATGAGCTGATGTAGGTAACAGCTCTTAGCTTGTCAATAAAGTTAGGAATCCTTGACTTGTAAATGGTTTGTCAATACAGCTAAGGATCCTGAACCTAACCTTGTCAAACCCTGTGTAAGAGAGAGAGAGAGAGAGAGAGAGAGAGAGAGAGAGAGAGAGAGAGATTTGTATCTTTCTGCGCCTTGATCTTGCTTAAGGGTTCTTAACTCAAAGCCACAGGAATAACATCAGCTTCCTCGGTCTGAACCTCTCTCACAGCACCTCCCCTTCCAGTGTCTCTCTAAATGAACTGATGAAGCTACCGATTGGCAAAACGTCCTCTATATAAAGACACGTTTCGCACATATTCCTATCTTCCATTCCCCAGGAGCTCTGTGAAGCCTACAGCCAGAATATTACGTTCACAAATATATACGTATTTACCCACACAGAGTTGTGTGTATATATCTAACAAAATATACACCGAGAGATATACATCTGGCGCTCATTATACTGTTAAAAAAGCTGTAAATTACTTTGTATACAATTATGTATTTCAAACTGAATACAGTAATGACACTGATACAAAAAAAATCATTGAAGACAATCGCTATAGCCAAAATTTATTGCAATAAATACATCTGTAAAATCAAAGACGTCTATCTCGTTACGTTTCGCCCCTCAGACGCTAAGGGCGAAACGTTCTTTAAAGTTTCTTTCGTTTTCCGCCGTTTGTTGGCCCAGTGCCCCGCTGGTCTGCTTTCTGGGAAGCGCTAAACACGTACGGGTCTTGTATTAGCCCCTGGGTAGCAACACCGAGAATTCAGCCTTGATTAAAGGGATGGGTAGCACTAATTCCTTGGATCAAGAGCACTTCACCAGCATCAGAGTTAGCCTCCTTGAAGGCAGGAACGTCTTCAAGGTGGACAACAGGAATTTGTATCTACCCGTTTGTTAGTCTACTGAAACAGAACGTAAACGGAAAACAGAAGGCAGATGACAGAAAACCTTATCTTACAATACGTTAATCTACACAAACAGAACATATACAACGGAACAAAACAACAGGACAAAGACCATAGTAAACAGAATAAAACAACAGGACACAGAACATAGCAGAACAAAACTGAAGGTAAAAGAAAACGGAATGTAAACAGTACACAGAACGTAGACAACAGAACACAGAACGTAGACAACAAAACACAGAACGTAGACAACAAAACACAGAACGTAGACAACAAAACACAGAACGTAGACAACAAAACACAGAACGTAGACAACAGAACAGAACGTAGACAACAGAACACAGAACGTAGACAACAAAACACAGAGCGTAGACAAAAGATCTAACAACCTTATAATAATAATAATAATAATAATAATAATAATAATAATAATAATAATAATAATCCTTATTTTTATAAGTACATGATGCAACTTGTACAGACCATAGTTAACAACAATGACATACTACTGTATAGAAAGCCCCTGGTTATGCAGGGCAAATTAGGTTAATTTTTTTTTGTCCCCAGGATGCGACCCACACCAATCAGCTAACTCCCAGGTGACCAGGGACAGTAGGTGTCTTAAGGAAACACGCCCAGAATGTTTCCACCCATACAGGGAATCGAACCACGGATCTCAATGTGTAAGCTGACCTTATACTGACATTACTCTATATAATACTTAGACTTTGGAATTATAATCGCCAGAGTAAAGATGTCTCTCACTACAACGAAAATACTCGTAAACAATGACATGACTTCATTTAAAACTGTGTTACCGTGAAGGCAGAAGTTAGTTAAGTCTTCTTTGTGTCTTCATAAAGCTAAATCCTTCGCGATAATTGGGTATCAAATCCTGGCTCGGTATTACGTGTTTTTATACGCGCTTGACGTCTAGTTACCTCAGTTGTCAACCTCGCTACCAGCATCACATTCACAGTTGAAGGTGGCATAAAGTTACATTCCCGGTCTTGAATGTTGCTCTCATGAGCAGTGCCACCATGTTGGAAGTGCCGTTGCTGAATGTTGCTTGCTATCTTGAACAGTGCCACCATCCTGGAAGCCACAGTTTCGAGACAGCTGACAGCTGCTACTACCTCCACTAGCATATTAAGATAACAGTCTTAAATAAACACTACCACTGACTGTTTATTTTACACTTCAAATATCAAATTTACTCTATCGTTATGCTTCTGCCGTGACCAATACATAATATATATATTATATATATATATATATATATATATATATATATATATATCAATAACAACACGGGCGACTAGCCAAGACTGACTCATGCTGATTTGGCCTGCTCATATTTGGGAGAAAACTCATGACGCCTTAATCCAGGACCATACAATCCAGTGGATTAAGGCGTTCATAAGTTGTCGCCACATGGGCAAGCCCAAAGCAGATGGGTTCGAGTCCTGGCTAGTATTTAAAGTGTTATTATTGATCAATGCCTCTGTTGTGGGCACTAAATATATATATATATATTTTATATATAATATATATAAATTATATAATATATATATATATATTATTATATTTTATTGCCGTGAGGTGTAACTAAGCATGACTATGAACAAATGAATAACTTCTGTATGTATGACTCTCATCATGATTATATAGAAGCATCAGGTGAGTGGGTACCCAGGCCAGTATCTGGCAGCTGTCAAGACTCCCACATATTCTGGTGCTCCCACACCTGACCAGCCCTAAGTTACATCGTTACCTACACCTAATGTACTCGCACTTGCTATATTTAGTAGGGGGAGCGGTAAGCCCGTTGGGTCATATAGCGCCTGGAAAAAGTAGGGGGAGGATGTAAGGAGAATTGATTGAAGGAGTAGCTCTAATTCCTTTGATCTAGAGCCCTTTCGTGGGGCCAGTGTGTGTGTGTGTGTGTGTGTGTACTCACCTATTTGTACTCGCCTATTTGTGGTTGCAGGGGTCGAGTCTTAGCTCCTGGCCCCGCCTCTTCACCGGTTGCTACTGGGCCCTCTCTCTCCCCGCTCCATGATCTTTATCAAACCTCGTCTTAAAACTGTGTATGGTTCCTGCCTCCACTACGTCATTTTCTAGGCTATTCCACTGCCTTACAACTCTATGACTGAAGAAATACTTCCTAATATCTGACTCATTTGTGCTTCAACTTCCAATTGTGGCCTCTTGTTTCTGGTCCCTCCTGGAACATCCTGTCTTGTTCCACTTTTATTCCACGCAGTATTTTTATGTCGTTATCATGTCTCCCCTGACCCTCCTGTCCTCCAGTGTGTGTGTGTGTGTTGTGTGTGTGTGTGTTGTGTGTGTGTGTGTGTGTGTGTGTGTGTGTACTCACCTTTTTGCGATTGCAGGGGTCGATTCGTAGCTCCTAGCACCCGCCTCTTCGCTGGTCGTTACTTGGTCCTCTCTCCCTGCTCCATGAGCCTTATCGTATCTTTTCTTAAAGCTGTGTATGGATCCTGCCTCCACTACATCAGTTGCCAGACTCTTTCACTTCCTGACAACTCTATGACTGAAGAAATACTTCCTAACATCCCTGTGACTCATCTGAGTTTTCAGTTTCCGGTTGTGACCCCTGTTGTTGCGTCCATCTTTGAAACCATCTGTCCCTATCTATCTTCTCAATTCCTTTCAGTATTTTATATGCCGTTATCATATCCTCCCTGTCCTCCAGTGTCGTCAGGTTGATTTTCCTTAACCTCTCCTCGTGTCGTGCGTGTGCGTGTGCGTGTGCGCGTGTGTGTGTGTGTGTGGTGGTTGTGTGTGTGTGTGTGTGTGTGTGTGTGTGTGTGTGTGTGTGTGTGTGTGTGTGTGTGTGTCATGAAGTACATTACACCTGCGTTCATGTCTTCAAGGCTCAGGTATATGTTTTTAATGCTGCGGCCTGGCTCGTACGGGTTTAGCGCCTCCCTATTAACATAATATTGTAAATAGTAATAAGGTTTACCTCTGGTTTTCCTTCCTCTATATTTTTTTCAATTTCAATTTGTTTCTAACACGAGAATTCCTCATCCGATCGGCTTCAAACTTTCAACGGTGGTGTACGGTAACTCTTGCAAGATTCTTGGAACATCTGGCGTGTGTGATGCCCTGTGATCAAACTCAGATGCGTCGACTCCTAATTCGACTACGACGTAAGTTAAGATATTAGTTAGGACACAAGTTAGGACACGAGTTAGGGCAGAAATTAGGGCACAAGTTAGGGCAAATTTCGATAATAATTTCCATGACTACCTGTACGTACTTCTTATATTTATCTTCAAATTATCAACGCTAATCTGTAGGCTGCACTCTACACTCTACCTCTCTCATGCACTGATGTGTAGAGAGCTGGGGTTGTGCAACATAGGGATAACTGTCTCGGATCACACAGCGACCGAAATACAGCTAGTTTATTCTACGATTCACCTCGTCTTTCGTAGATTCACCTCGTCTCTCGTAGATTCACCTCGTCTTTCGTAGATTCACCTTGTCTTTCGTAGATTCACCTCGTCTTTCGTAGATTCACCTCGTCTCTCGTAGATTCACCTCGTCTTTCGTAGATTCACCTCGTCTTTCGTAGATTCACCTCGTCTTTCGTAGATTCACCTCGTCTCTCGTAGATTCACCTCGTCTTTCGTAGATTCACCTTGTCTTTCGTAGATTCACCTCGTCTCTCGTAGATTCACCTTGTCTTTCGTAGATTCACCTCGTCTTTCGTAGATTCACCTCGTCTTTCGTAGATTCACCTCGTCTTTCGTAGATTCACCTCGTCTTTTCGTAGATTCACCTCGTCTTTCGTAGATTCACCTCGTCTCTCGTAGATTCACCTCGTCTCTCGTAGATTCACCTCGTCTCTCGTAGATTCACCTCGTCTCTCGTAGATTCACCTCGTCTCTCGTAGATTCACCTCGTCTCCGTAGATTCACCTCGTCTTTCGTAGATTCACCTCGTCATCTCGTAGATTCACTCGTCTCTCGTAGATTCACCTCGTCTTTCGTAGATCACTCGTCTTTCGTAGATTCACCTCGTCTTTCGAGATTCACCTACGTCTTTCGTAGATTCACCTCGTCTTTCGTAGATTCACCTCGTCTTTCGTAGATTCACCTCGTCTTTCGTAGATTCACCTCGTCTTTCGTAGATTCACCTCGTCTTTCGTAGATTCACCTCGTCTTTCGTAGATTCTGTAAATTCATAAAAGCGACAAACGGTGCCTCACACTTAACTATATATGCTTCACTGTAAATACTTTTTCAGCACATCCCTTATCCTGCCCAAATTTCTTTTGCTCCTCTGCAATTCAGCTTTCTCTCTTACCCCTAATTCTTTCAATAATAATTCTCCCATGCACTTCCTGTTTCTTACGTGCGTGTGTGACCTAATTAATGTCTGTATAAATAACTCACTACGATTGTGACCAGATACAGAACCCATTATGTGCCTCTGTAGTCTTTTGATTACCACCCACAGGACTGGTATTTGGAAGATAATACATATATTTAACTAACACTCTTCCCAGTTTACTCAATAGGTTGATCCGTCCACAGTTCGTACACTCTTCTTCCCTTTTCACCAACCACTCAGAAACTGCCTCCCTACCTACTCTTGTTATCTCTCTTAATTCCATCTGTACCACTTGTTTTGCTATCTTTTATTCTACCCACTGTCTCACGCATTTACCCTACATTCACCTTTGGCTCTTCCTTACTACCGCACAGATTACATCTACGTAATTTAGCTATCTTGAAGAGAGATGAAGTTCCCAGCACTCTCCTGATCTGTCGACATGCTCAAGGAAAAGTTCAGGAATTTAAGGAATGGATATTTATAAATAAGAAGGGCTATATGTAAACAGAAGGGATATACATAAACAGAAGAGATATACCTAAATAGTAGGGATATAAACAGGAGGAATAAAGACAGGGGGGAAACAAACAGGAGGGATACACATCACATATGAGACTCATTAGTTGACACTAGGGGAGTCGAGAGTTGAGACACGAGAATATACAATAACCAAATACAAAGTCATAAAACTATTCGATAGATCAAATAACCAATTTTTTTCTTAGCTCCAGCACGAGGAAACACAAGAGGCGACAGCTGTGCAGGAGAGAGTGTTGCCTAGAGTTTACATTGAAATTTTCCTTCCTAGAGTCGTAGTTAACAGTAATGGGCACCAAGAGACAGCAAGTGCGTTAATCACTAGGAAATTTAGAAAAATTACATGATTAAAACTATAAATGATACTCCGTTAACTTGGAATAATCACGAACATGCACATACAGGGACACAAGGACCCAGGAGGCTAGAACACACCTGGCGATACTGCGAAGCGAGCCCAGGAAATGGGACCCAACCCCCTCCCATACACCCACAACCACACCTCACCCCGTACACACAAAACCTCAACACCCCAGACACACCCAGCCACTATCCACTGTGCCTCAGCATCAAGATGATCACCTTGGGAACTCTCCTAGCCTGCTGCCTCCTGGTAGCCACAGGTTAGCTTAACCTATCCAAACTATCCTCATTTAACTTTCATTCTCTTGCGAGGTATCAAACATCAGTTTCTCAACGCTTCCTGTAAAGTTATAATTGCTATTTTCCATCATTTATGTTTGTCTAGGGTAAGTTTGGTCAGCTATACAAGTCTGTAAATATGTATATATATGTATATATAGCCACTTGGAAATAACTGGTAGCGTTTGCATGTATTTTTGGTTTTATGACCAGGTTTGTGTGACGTTCTGACCAGGCTTGAGTGACGTTCTGACTAGGCTTGAGTGACGTTCTGACTAGGCTTGAGTGACGTTCTGACCAGGCTTGAGTGACGTTCTGACCAGGCTGGAGTGACGTTCTGACCAGGCTGGAGTGACGTTCTGACCAGGCTGGAGTGACGTTCTGACCAGGCTGGAGTGACGTTCTGACCAGGCTGGAGTGACGTTCTGACCAGGCTGGAGTGACGTTCTGACCAGCTGGAGTGACGTTTGACCAGGCTGGAGTGACGTTCTGACCAGGCTGGAGTGACGTTCTGACCAGGCTGGAGTGACGTTCTGACCAGGCTGGAGTGACGTTCTGACCAGGCTGAGTGACGTCTGACCAGGCTGGAGTGACGTTCTGACCAGGCTGGTGACGTTCTGACCAGGCTGGAGTGACGTTCTGACCAGGCTGGAGTGACGTTCTGACCAGGCTTGAGTGACGTTCTGACCAGGCACGACGTACATTCTGACCAGGTATTAGGAACATTTTGACCAGGCATTAAGCACATTCTAACCAAGCATGAGTTATATCCTGACCAGACAAATTACAAAAATACAGTCTTTAAAATCTTCCTGTTGTATGTCTCGTAGCTGTGCGGTACAGACATCCCAGGACCACGGTTCGAATCCTTGTTCAGTCTTTCATTTATTAACATTCATTACGACTTGGGTAGCTCCAGTTCCTTGAATCAAGAACCTTAAAGGTCGGGTCTCTCTAACAGACAGTATTTGGTCTCTGTTTTTTGGTCAGCGGCCGAACCGAAGAATCTGGACAGAGTTGTGACCAAAGCTCTGGTTCTGAGCAATGGTCTCGACTGGGGGAACTGGGGCCCGGCCGAGTACTGTGAAGATGGGAGCTTCGCCATGGAATTTGAAGTCAAGGTGAGTGTGAAGTCAAGGTGAGTGTGAAGTCAAGGTGGGTGTGAAGTCTGAGTGTGGAGTCAAGGTGAGTGTGAAGTCAAGGTGAGTGTGATGTCAAGGCGAGGGTGAAGTCAAGGCGAGGGTGAAGTCAAGGTGAGTGTGAAGTCAAGGCGAGTGTGAAGTCAAGGTGAGTGTGAAGTCAAGGTGAGTGTGAAGTCAAGGCGAGTGTGAAGTCAAGGCGAGTGTGAAGTCAAGGTGAGTGTGAAGTCAAGGTGAGTGTGAAGTCAAGGTGAGTGTGAAGGTGAGTGTGAAGTCAAGGTGGGTGTGAAGTCAAGATGGGTGTGAAGTCAAGATGAGTGTGAAGTCAAGGCGAGTGTGAAGTCAAGGCGAGTGTGAAGTCAAGGCGAGTGTGAAGTCAAGGCGAGTGTGAAGTCAAGGCGAGTGTGAAGTCAAGGTGAGTGTGAAGTCAAGGTGAGTGTGAAGTCAAGGTGAGTGTGAAGTCAAGGTGAGTGTGAAGTCAAGGCGAGTGTGAAGTCAAGGCGAGTGTGAAGTCAAGGTGAGTGTGAAGTCAAGGTGAGTGTGAAGTCAAGGTGAGTGTGAAGTCAAGGTGAGTGTGAAGTCAAGGTGAGTGTGAAGGTGAGTGTGAAGTCAAGGTGGGTGTGAAGTCAAGGTGAGTGTGAAGTCAAGGTGAGTGTGAAGTCAAGGTGAGTGTGAAGGTGATGTGAAGTCAAGGTGGGTGTGAAGTCAAGGTGGGTGTGAAGTCAAGGTGGGTGTGAAGTCAAGGTGGGTGTGAAGTCAAGGTGGGTGTGAAGTCGAGGGTGAAGTCAAGGTGAGGGTGAAGTCAAGGCGAGGGTGAAGTCAAGGTGAGGGTGAAGTCAAGGCGAGGGTGAAGTCAAGGTGCAAGATTTACACAATATCTCACGTACTGGATATAACTGGTCATCCAATACTTAACAAAAGAACGAGGCGTAAACAAAGTCTTCATTATACCAAGAATGTCATAAGACACGCACCGTGAAGTGTCTCCCACTGTACACATGGTAGGAGTGTACCGGAATCCCTACCATGGGGGATTAAAGTATTCTTGAGTGGTGTCTTGCAGCCTTAATGACCCTCGTGTAGCCGATAAGCTTGAAATCCTATTAACAAACCTTTGGAAAATGGTGTTCAGCTCCGCGAGACGTTGAAGTTACCTTGAGAAGTGGACACTTTTCCCAGTGTTAACAGTGCTTTCCGTGTGCCACCAGTACTTTCCGTGTGCCACCAGTACTTTCCGTGTGCCAGCAGTACTTCCCCTGTGCCAGCAGTATTTCCCCTGTGCCAGCAGTACTTCCCCTGTGCCAGCAGTACTTCCCCTGTGCCAGCAGTACTTCCCCTGTGCCAGCAGTACTTCCCTGTGCCACCAGTACTTTTCTTAGTACTGCATCTTCACTACCTCTCTGTATTCTACCTGTCACCTGAGTCAACCTTCCTCTAAAGACCTGAGTGATTATCTTCATCCCAAGATACATTCCAGGGTACACAGGACACATCCCAGGAAGCACCCCAGGACACATTCAAGGGTACATTGCAGGACACATCCCAGGGTATACTGCAGGATACATCCCAGGGTATATTGCAGGACACATCCTAGGACACATTGCAGGACACATCACAGGACACATTGCAGGACACATCCCAGGACACATTCCATTAACCATCTCTCACAACTTTCAAAATTCATCTTCAATTTTCTCCGGAGATCTTTTCAAGACTTCTTCGAAGTCCTGCAAATTAGTGGAGTATCCTGCACCACCGCAGGACACAACGAGCAACACAAACATCAAGCATTGCAGGAACCTTGTATTATACCACCTCTCTCTCCAGCAGGCCAGTCTCGCACGAATACACGATCAGGGGACGGAGGATCGAGCCTCCACCACTCCTTACCCTAAATGACCCTTACAGAGTAAATTAGTGTTCTGTCACGCACCAGGATGCACCAGGACGCACCAGGACGCACCAGGACGCTCCAGTTCTCTGAGTACCATGTTTTCCGGCATATAAGGCGCACTATGTAAGACAGTGTTTCCAAGCAGTTGTAACGTAACGTTAATAAGCAACTGCTAAAGTGTAACCCAAAGTCTACCCTTGACCCTGACCTTGAGCATATTAGGCGCAGGCTGATTTTTCAAAGATCTTTGTGGGTAAAAACGCGCGCCTTATATGCCCGAAAACACGGTTCTCACTGTGAAGGGGTTTCCAAATTCAACACACACACACACACACACACACACACACACACACACACACACACACACACACACACACACACACACACACACACACACACTCACTCATAAGAAATAGGCGACAATCTGGTTGCGTTTACGTGCTAGTTTAAATTTTGCGATTATCACATCAACACGAATTATTTGAGAAGGCATTTTTTATTAAATGAGGCGAGTTTAGAGCAGAGAGCCACTCACTCTGCGAGTGAGTAAACTACTATAGAGACGGTGGAGCTATTACCGTATTTTCCGGCATATAAGGCGCACGGTAATTACTCGTATTACAACTTTATTTCTGTAATAAACTGCGTGTCCACTCATAAAACACCACTTGACAGTAACCCAAAGTTGACCCTGACCTTGAGCATAAAAGGCGCAGGGGGATTTTCCAAGATTTTTCTTGGGGGGGAAAAGCGCGCCTTATATACCGGAAAACACGGTACAGTCCTTCACTTCTAGTCGCTATTCCTTCCCTTCTAGTCGGTATTCCTTCACTTCTAGTCGCTATTCCTTCCCTTCTAGTCGGTATTCTTTCACTTCTAGTCGCTATTCCTTCACTTCTAGTCGCTATTCCTTCACTTCTAGTCGCTATTCCTTCACTTCTAGTCGCTATTCCTTCACTTCTAGTCGCTATTCCTTCACTTCTAGTCGCTATTCCTTCACTTTAGTCGCTATTCCTTCACTTCTAGTCGCTATTCCTTCACTTCTAGTCGCTATTCCTTCACTTTAGTCGCTATTCCTTCCTTTAGTCGCTATTCCTTCACTTCTAGTCGCTATTCCTTCACTTCTAGTCGCTATTCCCACTTCACCTTTCTAGTCGCTATTCTCATCTATCGCTTCCTTCTTCTAGTCGCTATTCCTTCCTTCTAGTCGCTATTCCTTCACTTCTAGTCGCTATTCCTTCACTTCTAGTCGCTATTCCTTCACTTCTAGTCGCTATTCCTTCCCTTCTAGTCGCTATTCCTTCCCTTCTAGTCGCTATTCCTTCCCTTCTAGTCGCTATTCCTTCCCTTCTAGTCGCTATTCCTTCCCTTCTAGTCGCTATTCCTTCCTTCTAGTCGCTATTCCTTCCTTCTAGTCGCTATTCCTTCCCTTCTAGTCGCTATTCCTTCCCTTCTAGTCGCTATTCCTTCCCTTCTAGTCGCTATTCCTTCCCTTCTAGTCGCTATTCCTTCCCTTCTAGTCGCTATTCCTTCACTTACACAAGAGTAAATATTTCTGACAGCGGGGTATAAGGTCATGAAATTCTTTATTTTATACATGTTTCTGGTGACAAACTGGTGCAAATGGTTCAGAAAATCGACAAGATGAGGAATTAGACACTTGTTGCAGCATTAGTAATGTTTATTGTGGAAGCGTTTCGCCTACAAGTGATTTCCTCAGTCCGGAACAGAGACGAATGGTGGGAGGAGAGGAGGAGTTTGAGGTAATTAGTCAATCAGCCTTGAGTCGATGTGTTCAGTCCATCAATCTTGAGAAAAGTATCGTATATGGTGTATTTTTCTCAAGATTGATGGATTGAATATATCAACTCGTGGCTGAGAGACTGATAACCTCTTCCATACCACCACAAACACGCTACACCACCACCACCACCATCACGACCATGATCACCCTCTCTACTTCTACCATCATCACCTTTCATCACCCTTTCCAATACGACCATAACCACCCACCCTTCTGTCTCCCTACTTAACTCCACTACCACCACAGCAACCCTCCCCAACCTACCTCCACCCTCATAAGGGCCATAACCCAAAACTATCCCCACCTGTGTCACCCCCACTAATATCACGCCACTCCCACACACCCGACACCCACAACCCTCCACCACTACCCACACAGCCTTACCCTTCACACTGCCTCATAGGCGCCTTATCGACCCAGCGTGGGACAATAACTCAGGAAACACATCTGCAGCTCCCTAACCTTGTAGACAGCTACCCCGTGTCATCTCCCTGACCTTGTAGACAGCTACCCTGTGTCATCTCCCTGACCTTGTAGACAGCTACCCCGTGTCATCTCCCTGACCTTGTAGACAGCTACACCGTGTCATCTCCCTGACCTTGTAGACAGCTACCCCGTGTCATCTCCCTGACCTTGTAGACAGCTACCCCGTGTCATCTCCCTGACCTTGTAGACAGCTACCTCCTGTTATTTCCCTGACCTTGTAGACAGCTACACCCTGTCAGCCTCACGTACCGTCCACATGACCCATAAACTCTACTGCACCTATATACTGCACCTATATACAGCACCTATGTACAGCACCTAGGTGCTGCACCTAGGCACGAAGAACCCTGACATGCACATGACCTGCAACCTAATTAGCCTCCTGTTTCAAATTTTTTGTCCTGAGTATTCAAACAGCCCCATTAGAAGATTTTGAAATTGATGTTCCTATACTTTGATCGTCACCAACAGCCTCGTTAACCAGAGGCCGGGCCGTGATTAGCAGACGGAGGATCGAGCCTCCACGGGTTCACTGCTGCATGAAATAATGGCCAGTCCTTACGTGTTTATATTAATATATACACGATTTTTTAACGAAAATATTTTTTCGTTTATAAAATTAAAATAATTTTTTCCAGTAAATTGTCAATATTGCACATTGTTACTGTAATTATTGTTCATTATAATACACATTATTGTTCGTTATTATTGATCATTTATTATTGTATATAACTGTAGTACATGTAGCGTGTGATCATTATTGTATAAGGTGATTATACATTACTAATGTATATAACGATTATTGTACATTATTATACACGATGTAAGAACCGACAGTGTTGGCGCCCACTTGTAATGGTCTGTGTATCCTGAGCGACCGTCAAGATGTGAATGTGATAACAAGTCTGTGACGCCCTGACACTGTGTCAGGGCGTCAGAGGATCAGATGAAGCCATGGCTTACAAAATCGTCATAACACGATTGTAGAGAAATCACGGAGCGGGTGGGGTTTTGAACCCATGGTGGGTGTGTCCTAAAACTCACAGGCGTTAACCTCTCGGCCAACTGGTTCTAATAAGATTTATCCAAACAGGTATATTTCTATACAAGTTTTAAAATTGGAACACCCGTGGATGCTTTCTCCCTTTGTGTACTCCACTTGTACAATAAAACTACAGAACGACTGAAGATTATCTTTTTCAATCTCGGTCCATCCGGTGAACCCGCGACAGATTTGGTGGCAGCGGTGGGATTGAACTCCTGGATGGTCGAAGTCCGCCTCGCCAAGCGTCCAGTTGGTTGTTTAAATCTGCAAAACAGAGATTAGCGGTGGACGATCGGTCAAGACATGGACTAGATAATGGTATTATAGCCGTAAAAATGCTTTAGACACTAAGCAACCTAATGTTCACTGTTCAGTTACAGAATAATTTAGTACAGTTTTAGTCTAGCCTCGACGACCGCCACACGCAACAGGATTGTACTTGTCATTAGTCGTTTTTGCACAAGGATGCCACCTATGCCACTACCACTAACATCTGTTATCAGGTAAAAATAAAAGAGGTGTCTTTAAATTGGGGACTGTGAGAACAGGAGATGAACCTTAACTGAGGCATTTGAAAAGCTCATCCTTGACTGGAGAACAAATTTAAGGCATCATTCTTGAGCAACCATGTCAAGGGAACGGCAAGTGATGAAACACACATAGAATCGTGCAGAGCCAACAAAGGATATTAGGTCTTCAGCAGTTTGTAGCTCGGGAGAAAATTTCCAATGGCAGCCAGTTTATTGTGGACGGTTCATAACTTTTACAGAGACTTATAGAACTATAATTCTCTATAATAGGATAATGGGAACCAGGCAATTCAGTTTCTGAATGCAGACAAATTTATTTTCTGAGTGTCTCCATGTGGGTTTTTCTTGAGTATAATGGAATAGATATATCACAGCTTTTATTATAATTATATATATATATATATATATATAATATATATATATATATATATATATATATATATAATATATATATATATATATATATATATATATATATATATATATATTAATATATAAACACAATAGGTCAGTTTAAATTTATTTATTTAATATTACTTACAATCAATGATACGTATATATTTTTTTCGTTATGTTCAGACTGATTTTCGCTCTGCTTATTCGGCAGAAACCTCCTTGCCGAATAGAAAAAAATAGCCAGTTCGGAGAGTATATATATAACTTATTACAAAATTTCTCTTGGTTTCTTTCAAAGTTTGAGCCATACAGCATCCTGAATACAGACGAGACTGCTGTTAATGCTGTCAAGTTATATTGTTCAACTCTTGAGCTTCACCCCACCGGGTATATCCTGTCCTCTGAAGGCGAGAAGGGAGAGTGGCAAGGTAAGTAGTGATTTTTATGCACTCAGTGGCCACTGTATTAGGTACATCTCTACACATGCTCGTTAATATCGTAAATATCTAATCAGGCAATCACGTGGCAGCACTTCAGTGCCTAAAAGTATACATAGTTTAGTGGTTCAGTTGTTCAGACTGAACATCAGAATGGGGAAGTAATGTGATCTAAGTGATTTTGACCGTGGAATGATTGCTGGTGCCAGACGGGGGTGATTTAAGTATCTCAGAAATTGTTGATCTCCTGGGATTTTCACGCACAAGTCTCTAGTGTTCACAGAGAATAGTGTGAAAAACACTAAACATCAAGTGAGCAGAAGTTGGTGAAAAGTCTTGTTGCTGATAGAAGTCAGAGGAAAATTGCCAGATTGACTCACGTTGACAGGAAGGTGATGATCAGTAATTCCAATGACCACACATTACAACAGTAGCATGCGTAAGAGCATCTCCGAACGCACAATAGGCCAAACCTTGCAGTGGATAGGCTAGAGTAGCAGAAAACCAAGCCAGGTTCCACTCCTGTTAGCTGAGAACAGGAAACTGAAACTACAATGGGCACAAACTCCAAAACTGGACAGTTGAAGACTTAAAAAAAAGGTTGCCAGGTTTAACGAATCGCGATTTCTGCTGCCACTTGTGGACGGTAGGGTTAGAATTAGGCGTAAATCTTTGGTATGTATGGTGGAACAGGAGATTTGCAGCATGAATTTGCAGCCGACAAATCTGCAGTAACTGCGTGATGCTATCATGTCAACATAGACCAGAATCTCTAAAGAACGTTTCCAGCACCATCTTGAGTCCATACCACGAAGAATTTAGGGTATCCTGGGGGGGGGGGGGAGGGAGGAGTAAAGGAGAGACCTACAAAGTACTAGAAGGTGTACCTAATAAAGTGGCAAGTGTGTATATCATTCTGGACAAAACTGCGAAAAACGAAAAAGAAATGTGAAGGACCTGGGAGTGATAATGTCAGAGGATCTCGCCTTCAAAGATCACAACAATGTATCTACCTCATGGGTTAGAGAATATCTACAGTGTCCTTCTACCATACCTGATAGCTAAGTGCTGGGAAAAAAAACAATGCTTTATCATGCTTATCACACAGGACGGGTTGTATATATAAGGTACTGATCCGGGAGACTTTTAAGACGATGCATATATCAAGTATTCTACGGGTATCGTCAAGTATTCCATCGATTCCGTAACTGCGGTAGCTTCAGAGGTTATGTCCCAAGTAATAACTCCACCAGAGCTGGAAATTATTTCTTGGAAATTACCATCTCTCATCATAACCTACACACATAGGAAAATAAAAAAAAAATGTATGTTGGTGATGGATGTTGGCGTAGTGGTAATAATATAATGGGATTAATCTGGTCAATAAAATTCACTTATGCAATTATTAACTTGGCTTCGCATTGTAACTTTCGATTTATTAACGTGAATCAGCGCAGTCATGTTTACATTCTGACGTCTGTGTGACGTCTTCTGCTCCGTCACTTTATTGTTAACATAAGAACATAAGAACGAAGGAACACTGCAGAAGGCCTACTGGCCCATGCGAGGCAGGTCCAAGTCTGTTAGGTAAGACACATATGCAACAGTTAGGTATCTTTATTTTGAAACGTTTCGCCTACACAGTAGGCTTCTTCAGTCGAGTACAGAAAAGTTGATAGAAGCAGAAGATACTTGAAGACGATGTAATCAGTCCATCACCCTTAAAGTTTTGAGGTGGTCAGTCCCTCAGTCTGGAGAAGAGCATTGTTCCGTTGTCTGAAACATATTGTTTCAGACAACGGAACAATGCTCTTCTCCAGACTGAGGGACTGACCACCTCAAAACTTTAAGGTGATGGACTGATTACATCGTCTTCAGTATCTTCGCTTCTATCAACTTTTCTGTACTCGACTGAAGAAGCCTACTGTGTGGCGAAACGTTTCAAAATAAAGATACCTAAACTGTTGCATATGTGTCTTACCTAACAATCTGTCGTATTTTATTACCATTTTAATGTTCAAGGTCCAAGTCTCCTACCGGCTTAAGCCAATGCACCCAACCTATTAGGTCAGGTCACATTGACTAAGGGAGGAACACGGCAACCGACCTGTAGCACAAGCTATCAGGCCCAACTCACACCCACCCACATCCACTCATGTATTTATCCAACCTATTTTTAAAGCTACACAACGTTCTGGCCTCTATAACTGTACTCGGAGTTTGTTCCACTCATCCACAACTCTATTACCAAACCAGTACTTTCCTATATCCTTCCTGAATCTGAATTTTTCCAACTTAAAACCATTGCTGCGAGTCCTGTCTAGGCTAGTATATTTTCAGCACACTATTTACATCCCCTTTATTTATTCCTGTCTTCCATTTATACACCTCAATCATATCCCCCCTAATTCTACGTCTTTCTAAGAGTGCAGATTCAGGAGCCCTCAGTCTTCCTCATAGGGGAAGGTTTTGGCTATACATGGTATAAACTTTGTCATCCTCCTTTGTACATTTTCCAGAGAATTTATATCCATTCTGTAACTACGGTGACCAAAACTGTGCAGCATAATCTAAAGATGGCCTAACCAAGGATGTATATGAGTTGAAGAACAACCTGAGGACTCCTATTATTTATGCTTCTTGATATGAAGCCAAGGATTTTATTAGCTTTATTGCGAACACTTATGCACTGTTGTCTTGGTTTCAGATTACTGCTAACCAGAATCCTAAATCTTTTCGCAATCCGTAATCTAAGATCTACATTATTTAGTTTATATGTGGCATGGCTATTGTCCTGTCCAACATTTAGAACTTTGCATTTGTCTATATTAAACTGCATCTGCCACTTCTCCGACCACTGCATCAGTCTATTCAAATCTTCCTGGAGTGCTCTAATGTCCTCGTCAGAATGAATTCGACGGCCTATTTTGGTGTCATCGGCAAACTTGCCGATGTCGCTCTTTATGCCCTCATCTATGTCGTTTATGTAGATTGTGTACTGCTGTTTCACTGTGTATATCTTACGTTTCAAGTCTTGACTCGTATTAATAGATAATACACGATGCTTATTAATGTAGATTGAAGTAGACAGTTCTTCCAATAAGTGGTTTAGAAAATCGAAAAGTTGATGAATGAGACACTTGTGTAATATTTGTGTAGTTTTAAAAATAGGTTAGATAAATACATGAGTGGGTGTGGGTGGGTGTGAGTTGGACCTGACTAGCTTGTGCTGCTGGGTCTGGTGCAGTGCTCCATCCTTGAGTGGAGATGATCAGACTGGGTGGGTCATTGGGCTTATCCGGGGGGGGGGGTCATTAGTCTAATCCAGGGGGGGGACATGGACCTGCTCCGCATGGGTCAGTAGGCCTGTTGCAGTGTTCCTTATGTTCTTTATTCTGGAAGTGTTTCACCAGCCAGTGACTTCTTCAGTCCAGTGCAGAGAAACAGTGGACTGAAGCCGCTGGATGGAGAAACGCTTCCAGAATAAACCTAACCAAATGTGGCACAGATAGTTTTTTCTCAGCAGATAGCTTGGGGTTGGGACTTCCTCAGCTATCTGTCTTTCCTCTGTACTCTCTCATAATGTACACAGTGTGTCAGAAACACTACGGTGAGCAGCTGGCTCTCCGGGAGCACAAAGATACCTCCAAACATACAGAGAGATTTTGTTATTAACACTTGTCATTGATCTCGTTCCCTACTCTCTCATGCATTCTGAATGCTTCTGTGTCATAGTGAGGGCTATTACAATCACTTCTGCGACCTGATGGGGGTAATTATACTCGCTCCTGCGTCCAGATGAGACAGAGAATTCCCAAATCCCTATTTTAGAGAGCAAAATATTCTTTATTAATGCATCCACGAACGAGTGGTTTTAAGTAAATAATAACACTGTGACTAGGGGTTCGAATCCCTCTTAATGATCCTTTTACAGTTGATATAGTCTTTAAACCTAACAAATTATCACTTCAGACTAATCTTTTATACGTTTTACATGTGTAGGTTTTAACAAGAGTCGTAAAGGGACGTCTGATATGGTCGAATGACTTGAAGTGTGAGTTAATTTTAAATAGAATTTCTTGGAGGTCTGTACGTGGATTTTAAACCGCATGTGTGCAGCCGCGTTGCCAGCCTCCAGGGGATGCTCAGACAGCTGCCTTCTGCACCTACAGGCATGAGGGTGTGTGAAAATGGCTTCCTGACGGGGATGAGAGCCAAGGTGCTGGCCCCGAGAGGCGTGGCTCTGGACGACGTGGCCGTTCAGGATGTTATGATGGAGTGTGACTACGGTGACACCGTGATTATAGGGGTTGACAGTCACGCCAGGGTAAGTAACACGACGGTGTGTTACCGTGGTTGTGTGTGCTCTATCAAGGCTGCTATTACCAATACTGCTGATACTACTGCTACAAACGCTATTACTACTGCAACTTCCACAATTAATTCTACCACTTTTACTGTTACTATTATTTCTATTACGATTACTATTGCTGTTATTACTACTGCTACTAAATAATAATAATAATAATAATAATAATAATAATAATATAATAATAATAATAATACACTACCTCCAATATTCGCACTAAAATACACCCTCCAACGTACCCTATCCTTCTCTCAGAATCAAACCCGATAAAAGAACCCTCTCCCTCCACCTATCAAACACACACAAACAGATCTGACATGCTTGCAGATTCCAGATGGTGACTGGAGTACCTGGGCTCGCTGCCCTAATGGATCAGCCATCTGTGGCCTGGAGGTAAGCACGACTGGCCCTTCTGCCATACTCACCTATATGTTGCAGGGGTCGAGTCACAGCTATTGACCCTCGTGGACGGAGGAGCGAGCCTCCAACACTCCCTCAATGACCAACACCGGTCATTAAAAGGTTCCATATTGATCTTTCGGGTAGGACACAAGTCATTAGAATGCAGAGTGCCATTTCAATATCATTTGTAGTGAGGGCATGTTTCAAAATTATTTGTATAATAACAATCATTACTGTCATTTCTGTTGCTTATATATATATATATATATATATTATATATATATATATATATATATATATATATATATATATATATATATATATATATATATATATTATATATATAGAGAGAGAGAGAGAGAGAGAGAGAGAGGGAGGAGAGAGAGAGAGAGAGAGAGAGAGAGAGAGAGAGAGAGAGAGAGAGATAGAGAGAGAGAGAGAGATCCTCTAACAACTTTGTGTTTATCTCCCAAGACCAGACTTGAGGATCCCAACCTAGTGGTGGACGACACTGGCATCACTGACATTTCTATGTACTGTTGTTCTCTTGACGGCCTGCGGCGGCGCCGTCAGTAAACCAGCAGGGTGTGATGGCCCCCAGCAGGGGTTGATGCCCCCCAACAGCGGGTGATGCCCCTTCCCTCATAACGACCCTCCTGTTACCGCTGTTGTTGTCCCCCATGCTGTTTAGAACCGACCAGATGAGGCATTCGATGCGTGTGCAGCATCTGGGTACCTTTACCCGAAGACTTTTCGGCAAACAAGTGGTTTTTTCAATCCACTTCGGATATAATATACGAAGACAGAAGAAATTGAGCTAATCAGTCCCTCTCTACCTTGCAGAAAAGGTCGCGGTTGGCGAAATGTTTTCTGATAAAGATAGCCAATTACTGTGCATGTGTATTATTTATTCTTGCTACTGCAACAATAAGAATACACAATAAAAAATACACCTATTTTGTTACATTTGTTACACACACACACACACACACACACACACACACCACACACACACACACACAACACACACACACACACACACACACACACACCACCTTCACTACACTTACCACCTACACCACCAGAGATTGTATCATCACCACACATAGTATCACCACTAGTAGCACCAAAGACATCATTACCAAAATCAACACCACCAGTACCATTGCCACCCCAACTAGAATCATCACCTAAATGACAACCACTACTATGAAATTTAAACATTTAAACACACCCATACAGTCACTGTCACACATTACACACCTCCACCACACACACCTCTACCACCACACACACCACTACCACACACACCTCTACCACCACACACCCAACACCACACACACCTCTACCACCACACACACACCTCTACCACCACACACCCACTACCACACACACCTCTACCACCACACAACACCAACACCACACACACCTCTACCACCACACACACACCTCTACCACCACCACACCACCCAACACCACACACACCTCTAACCACACACACACACACCTCTACCACCACACACACCAACACCACACACACCTCTACCACCACACACACCAACACCACACACACCCAAACCACTCACACACCACACCATCTACCACCACACACAAAACCAAACCACCACACACCTCTACACACCACACACACACACTCTACCACCACACACACACCTCTACCACCACACACACACCTCTACCACCACACACACAACACCCACACACACCACACCACACACACACCTCTACCACCACACACACACCTCTACCACCACACACACCAACCACACACACACTACCAACACACACACACCTCTACCACCACACACAACACCTCTACCACCACACACACCAACACCACACACACCTCTACCACCACACACACACCTCTACCCAAACCACCACAACACACACCTCTACCAACCACACACCACCAACACCACACACAACCTCTACCACCACACACACACCTCTACCACACACACACCAACACCACACACACCTCTACCCACCACACCACACAACCTCTACCACCACACACACCAACACCACACACACCTCTACCACCACACCACACACCTCTACCACCACACACACCAACACCACACCACACCTCTACCACCACACACACCACCACACACACACCTCTACCACCACACACACCAACACCACACACACCAACACCACACACACCTCTACCACCACACACACCAACACCACACACACCTCTACCACCACACACACCAACACCACCACACACACCACTACCACCACACACACCACCACCCAACACCACCACACACCACACACACACCACACACACACACACCACCACACACACCACCACCACACACACCACACCACACACACCTCACCACCACACACACCAACACCACCACACACCACTACCACCACACACACCACCACCACACACACAACCACCACCACTACCACCACACACACCAACACCACTACCACCACACACACACACCACACCACACCACACACACACCAACACCACCACCACCACACACCACTACCACCACACACACCATCACCACCACCACACACACCAACACCACCACCACCACACACCACTACCACCACACACACCACCACCACACACACCATCACCACCACCACACACACCAACACCACACCACACACACCAACACCACCACCACACACACCAACACCACACACCACCAACACTTTCACCAACAACATCTCTGCTGCATAACACGAATACAACAAAATTTATAATGAAAACACTAGTTTCTAATTGAAATTTCTTCAAATCAAAAAAATAAATGTTTTAAATACCATAACAGTAATTAATTATATCCTATAAGCTAAATCTATGTCAAAAATTCTTCAATATGGAAATAAACTACAAATATTAATTATCCTATTTTGACACGATAAAAATCTAAAGAATCACTAACATATATATTATATATATATATATATATATATATATTATTATATATATATATATATATATATATATATATATATATATTATATATATGAGGAACTTCGTGCAGGAGGTTCAGTGGGACAGAGAACTCGTAGTTAAGGAGGACCAGCGACAGTACGAAAACAACATAGCATCGAAAGTCAAGTCTGACCCGAAACTGCTGTACAGCCGAGTAAGACAACAGTCAAAGACTAGGTGATCAAGCTGAGGAAAGAAGGTGGGGAACTCACAAGAAACGATCAAGATGTATGTGAGGAGCTCAGCACGAGCTTTAAGGAAGTATTCACAGTAGAGACAGGAAGGGCTCGGGGAAGACAGGACAGAGGGGGACACCAACAGGCACTATATCAACAAGTGTTCGATGACATACACACATCTGAGGAGGAGGTGCAGATGCTGCTAAGTGACCTTGATACCTTAAAGGCGATTGGACCGGACATCTCCCCGTGGGTCCTTAGAGAAGGAGCAGAGACGCTGTGTGTGCCACTAACCACAATATTCAACACATCCCTTGAAACTGAGCAACTACCCGAGGTATGGAAGACGGCAAATGTAGTCCCCATTTTTAAGAAAGGAGACAGAAACGAGGCACTAAACTACAGACCAGTGTCACTGACGTGTATAGTATGCAAAGCATGGAGAAGATTATCAGGAGGAGAATGGTGGAGCACCTGGAACGGAACAAGATTATAAACGACAACCAGCAGGGATTCATGGAAGGCAAATCTTGTGTCACAAACCTTCTGGAGTTTTATGACGAAGTTACAGAAGACACGAGAGAGAGGGGTGGGTTGATTGCATTTTCCTGGACTGCAGGAAGGCCTTCGATACAGTTGCTCACAAAAGATTAGTGCAGAAACTGGAGAGTCAGGCGCATAAAACAGGAAGGGCACTGCAATAGATCAGAGAATATCTGACAGGGAGGCAACAACGAGTCATGTTACGTGATGAGGTATCACAGTGGGCGTCCCCGTCAACTGCAAAGTCATGAAGATTGGGGAAGGGCAAAGAAGACCGCGGAGTATAGGCTAGGTGGCCAAAGACTGCAAACACCGAGCACGTCTCCGGAGGCACACATCTAAATTCAAGGGCTAAACCTGATGCGCATAAGTGGTCATCAAACACTTAACGATACGTCGGCCATACTTGGGGTAAGCACACCATTCAGAACCACACACTGGTCAGCAAGTCAAGCCATATAGAGGAAATGCAAAAGTTTGAACAAGGTTAGTTCGAGTCAGGGAAGTCTGAAGAAAGTTAGGGAAATGGCTATACACTTGAGACAGAGGGTCAGGGAGAATGATAACGGAGCATGGCAGTGTAGGAGCCCTATTGCAAGTCACTTAAGTCTAAGCGTCCACAATCTGGTACTCCTTAACCATCTCCTAAAACAGTTGAAGTCCTAAACAGAACACCGTTAACAGGGAGTAACCCCTATGTTTACCTTCTGCATTCCCAAGAGGTTATGCACTCTCAACTAGCACCCGTCAGTCAAATACCTCAGGATTTTAATTTTTTACCCCATTCTCGAGACTAAACGGTTAAAAAAGCGTCAACATAGACATCCCCTTCAAAGAGAGGTTTCCAGAAGCCTATTGTTTCCTCTGCCGTATCAAAGCACATTCAGGGTTAATTAGGAACGTTCCTCAGAGGCATGATGGTTGTCATGCCTGAACGTCGAGACACAACACCTTCAACTGTTGGTATATACACCTGTGATGCGTCTTTGTTTATACTAATATAGAAAGTGTCTTTACATATAATAATAGTGTGTATATATAGCACCTGTGTGGCTCTCAATGTATATACGAAATGTGTATATACACAGAAGCTGATTTCTCAGTGTATAACAAAGTGTGTATAACAGAAGGTGTAATTAGGGAACGTTACATAAGTGGTATATAAGGTCATCTCGGTGATGTTCACACAAACTTGACTCTCATGTATATACACCGAGAGGTGAGTTCATAAGTGTTTGATGAGGGATAAAGGACGCTCTAATTCCTGAATAAGAGCTTTCACCAGATCAATGCAACCTAGTTCTTACCCTCCTAGAGTGTGAGTGATGTAGCTAACTTATAGGGTACGTTAAAGCTCTAGGTACGTCAAGCTCTATTCGTCAAGCTCTAGGGTATGCCAAAGATTAGTAACACAAGGTTCTAGGGTACACCAAGTCTGTGTACACCTAAACCAGGTAACAAATCTAGGTGTATGTTCAAGCTCCAAGGGTCACCAAGTGTAGTACACCAACCTAGGGTATGTCAAGCTCTAGGGTATGTCAAGCTAGGGTACAAAGGCTCTAGGCTCTACCATTCTCTGAACCAAAGCTCTAGCACACAGCTCTAGGCACACCAAGCTCTAGCCTACACCAAGTCTAGGTCGTACCAACTTCTAGGGTACTCAAGCTCTAGGCTACCCAAGCTCTAGGCTACACCAAGCTCTAGGCTATCCAAGTCTAGGGTACACCAAGTTTCTTAGGCTACACCAAGCTCTAGGCTACACCAAGCTCTAGGCTACACCAAGCTCTAGGCTACACCAAGTCTCTAGGCTACAGCAAGCTCTAGGTACACCAAGATTAGGCTACACCAAGCTCTAGGTATTCACCAAGCTCTAGGCTACACCAAGCTCTAGGCTACACCAAGCTCTAGGCTACACCAAGCTCTAGGCTACACCAAGCTCTAGGCTACACCAAGCTCTAGGCTACACCAAGCTCTAGGCTACACCAAGCTCTAGGCTACACCAAGCTCTAGGCTACATCAAGCTCTAGGCTACACCAAGCTCTAGGGGTACTTCACGCTCTAGAATACACCAAGTTCTAGGGCACACCAAGCTCTAAGGGTACTTTACGCTTTAGGCTACATCGCCGTGAGAGGCAAAAAATCCACTGGAATGGCATTCACCCTATGGATGTGTGTTCTGGAAAGTCTGGAAACGAACGCGGCCCTTGGAGACCAGGACATTGTGACTCCTCCTCCTCTCTTGCGTCACCTGCGTCACCTGCGTCAGCGGGGTTGACTGCGTCAGCATATTTAACGCCTTCCACAACAGAACTTTGATAAAAGAAATTCCACGCAGAAGTTGTGGAGTTGAAAGTAGAATTCTAAATTCCCTTGGCACCACGTGTAATAATAATAATAATAATAATAATAATAATAATAATAACAACAACATCTACATGTACATGATACAACTTATACATACCATAGCTGACATCAATGACACTATGCAGAAAGCCCCTGGTTATGCAGAGCATTTCGGGGAACTTGGGTTAATTTTTGTCCCCAGGATGCGACCCACACGAGTCGACTAACACTCAGGTACCTACTTCTAAGCGAACAGGGACAATATGTACCTTAAAGAAACACACCCTGTTTCCACCCATACCGGGGATCGAACCTCGGACACTCAATGCGTGATCTGAGTACGTTACCAGCCGATGTATGGAATATGATGCCTCCAGGAGTCATGACAAGTTCCGCAGAACGTTTTATTCTTTTAATTGGGTCAACGTTTCGAACAGTGTAGATGTTTATCTATACAAATGGAAATGGTCCCAATGTAGTTGTTCGGCAGAGATTGTATTGTCGGTGTTGTTGTCGGTACCATGTTTAGATCTACAGCCAGAGACAGGCCTATCTAAACAGGCTTACTTAAACACAGCCAGAGTCAGGCCTACCTAAAAACACCCAAAGTCAGGTCTACCTAAACACAGCGAGAGTCAGGTCTACCTAAACATAGCGAGAGTCAGGTCTACCTAAACATAGCGAGAGTCAGGTCTACCTAAACACAGCGACAGTCAGGTCTACCTAAACATAGCGACAGTCAGGTCTACTTAAACACAGCGAGAGTCAGGCCTACCTAAACACAGCGAGAGTCAGGTCTACCTAAACATAGCGACAGTCAGGTCTACCTAAACATAGCGCAGTCAGGTCTACCTAAACACAGCGACAGTCAGGTCTACCTAAACACAGCGACAGTCAGGTCTACCTAAACACAGCGAGAGTCAGGCCTACCTAAACACAACGAGTCAGGCCTACCTAAACACAACGAGTCAGGCCTACCTAAACACGAGTCAGGCCTACCTAAACACAACGAGTCAGTTAGGTAAGACACATAGCAACAGTTAGACAACTTTACCGAAAGTTTCCTAACGTAGCTTCTTCAGTCGAATACAAAATAGCAGGAAAGTAGAGCATATGAAGACGATAATCAGTCCATCACCCTTGTATCGTAGAATTCGAGTTGTCAGGTCCTCGCCTGACGAGTCAGTTCCTAGCTAGAACATCTCGATAGTCCTGACCTATGGAACTGA